AGATCAAAAATATTAGGAAGCGTAAATTATGGTTTGGACGTCATTAAGCCATGCAAAGTCATAAAGTCAAGAACTTTATGGTTTGGATGTTCTTGTCTTAACCATTACGAGCTTAGTGGTAAGTTGGGTATACATAGGAGTATGCTCAGCATAATGCATGGATCAGGATTGGCAACTTATACATTGCACATCGGTGAGCAGTATGCGGGGGTACAAGTTTAGTATGCGGGACGTACTCTCGAGATCCTCATTTTTGGCTTTTTGGTCCTTGGGCTTTTTTAGGATTTGGGCTATGAGATGTTAGACCAGTTGTGGGAAGGGTAAATCGTTGAGTTCCCTTGTGGACTCTCCGAGATTTGTTAACAGAATCGGAAATGATCAACACAGCTCGTCGAGTTCCTCTATGAACTCACCGAGCTCCTCACATTTCTAGTCTATTAAGCCCTTTCCTCATATCTAAGGTTCCAAAATATAGATCTACATTGTTTCCATGGCATATTGCAGTAATGTTGACAACTTGATGCCTTTGAAGGCCTCAAATGGACCCAATCTCGAGATATAACAACCTAATTCTACAGTCATGGTCTTTTCTTAGAAAAGAATAGGGTTTAGGACCCTTTTTATGAATCTAGGGGCCAAATAACACTGAGAATGGGAGTTTGCAGCTTTAGGACTATAAAGGTGACCATGCTTCCAACAATGGGGCCAAAAAGGCCCATAAAACAAGACTATGAGAGATCTAAGCTATGAATCATCAAGTTAGGGACTTTTTACCTTAGAAAGTTGCCAAGGATAGATGAGATCCCTAATCTAGTGCTTCCCCTCAAGCTCAATGACGTTATTGTTCTTCCAAGTCCTTCACGAAGCACAAAAACACACAAAAATCCACTCAAAACCTCAAGTTTCTCACCAAGGAGCTCACAATACGAATTAGGGTTTCAGGTAGGTTGATGAGGGATGGTGGGAAGAGATTAAGTCCTTTAAATAGGGTGCAAAACCCTAGAAATTAGGGTTTCATCCCAGTCGGTCTACTCGTCGAGTTGAGGCCTCTCAAATCATCGAATAGATTACTTAAATCATGTGATCCTGACAATCTCTACTCAAGGAGTTTGGGGATACCAACTCGTCGAGTTGCTCTGAAAACAAGAATAATTTATAAATTAAATGCGTAACAGGAACCAAGCGTTACAGTTATACCCCACTTGTCTCAGACTTCGTCCTTGAAGTCTGCTGCCTCAAATAACTTTGGGTAATGCTCTCTCATCTCCTCCTCGGTTTCCCATGTCTACTCTGACTCCTTGTGGTGCATCCACTGCACCTTCACTAACTGTACAACCTTGTTTCTTAATGTTTTCATCTTTCGATCCAGAATCGCCACTGGCCTCTCAATGAAATTCAAGCTGTCATCTACCTGGATATCCTCTAAAGGAACAACTTCAGAGTCATCCACCAAGCACTTCTGCGGCTGGGAGACATGAAAAGTGTTGTCGATCTGGCTGAGCTCTACTGGAAGATCGAAATAGAAGGCCACACGACCCACTCGATCTGTAACTCTAAAAGGACTGATGTACCTGGGGCCCAGCTTGCGCCGCTTCCTGAACCGGATGACACCTGTCCAAGGTGACACCTTCAGGAGGAATATATCCCTACCTGAAACTCTAGGTCTGAATGGCACTTGTCGGCATAGCTTTTTATTACCGACTTTGAGCTGTCTGGATGTAATGCCTGTGTTTCTGGGCTAAAAGAATTAATAATGTTGTAATAGTCTAGGTCAACCTTTGTAACTCATTTTGAAGTAATAAAGAGGAATTATGTGAATATCATGTGAATTATATGCTTATCTGCTTAATTATTAGGGAAAATTTCACATATATCCTTGTAAACGTTAAGAATTACGTCTATATCCTTCCAAAGTTCGGAATTACATATATATCATTCCTAACATATTAAACTCTCATATATATCCAATCCTATAATTTAATGAAATATTAATCCATTTAATATCAAAAAATATATTTAAAAATCATAAATACAAATAAATTTACCAAAATACCCTTTACATATTATATCCAACTTAAATGGTCTTCTTTTTTCTAGAAATCATTAATCAGTCAAAATCGATTCCTCGATCATCCATACCAGATCCACCTTTCTCCTCCCCTAAAAATCGAGTTCATCTCTCCCTCCTATCTTCCGGTCTCCTTCACGGCCTCACCTTCTTCCCTCTTAGCCCTCTACCGGCTACCACCACTGGCAAGCTACATCGCCGTCCTTCACACCTTAAAAAATCCTAACCATTGCAACGTCATTCCACCTTCCCCTTGTTCACAACAAAAAATCCTCACCCACACCCCCTCCTCTTATCACCGATGGCCATCAATGGAAGTGTCAATCCTTAATTTTAAGTATGTGGGAGCATCAAGCCTTAATTTCAAGTATAAGTACGTATTAAATTCATGTCTAATTTTGTATGTGTTGATTGGCTTAAAAATTAGGGATTCGCTCAGAAGGCCACGAACTGCGTACCAAATCGTTTCGTGTGTTCACTGAGAACAACCTTTCACCATCAAAAACCGAATTACATCTTTCCCGCACATCTTCTAGTATGTGTCGCCTTCTTCATTCTTAGCCATCTAGCGACTACCACCACCAGTAAGCCATAGCATCTCCCTGCATGACCTGCTACATCAGAAAAACTATACGCCGACAACTCTTCACCATTGTGACCTAGGTTCATGTTCACGACAGAAGTAGGTATCACCGATGGCCACAAGTTGAGGCCTTAAACCTCAACTTCAAGTCCAAGTAGGTATGGAATTTATTTCTAATGCTTATGATAAAAAAAGATAGGGTGCTATTGTTGTTGCTGAGATAATCAATCCTATTTATGATTGTTGTTGCTGAGATAATCAATCCTAGTAGTTCTGTTGTGTTTCTTTTTTCCAGTGTTTAAACGCCTAAGCTTGATTCCTACATTCCCATGCTAACAAAACAACTGGGTTTAGAATGACCTTCAAACACAAAAATTAAAAGCAAATGGTAAAACATATCTACATAATCAATCAAACTAGTAACAGGGGCCATAGGGTCTACTATGCTTCTATTTTCTTGTTGATACTTATTATTGTTTTTTAGCTCTTGACAACTTCATTGTGTTACTATTAGATACATTTGCTGGCAGGACATGGTATTTATGTATGGTGAAGAAGAGATTGAATCTATAGGATGTCTTGTACGTGATAATCTTAAGAAATTACCTAAACCCATTCGGAAAATCTTAATCTTGCCATTGTTCTCTTCTCTTCCATCAGAAAAGAAAATGAGTTTTTGCACCTATGTTAGTGGATTCAGAAAGGTACACTAGTAACTACACTCCTTATTAAGAAATTATATAAAACTGGCTTTGTTTTGCTTTTCCTTTGTACCAGTGAGAGATTGGATGGTCAATTTAATCTACATTTTAATTCAAAGTGCAAATTTGGTGGTTCATTTATTCTTTTCCATCTTCAATTTGATGTAGTTGCAATAAAGATGTTTATTATTAGATTACTTGAATGCAAATCTGATTATGCATCAAACAACGGAGCCAAAGATGGTCTTTTTATCGTTACATTGGTATGGTTGGTCCATAGTGTAACAAAAAAGGTAAGAAATTAAAAATACACCTCTAATACTTTTTTTTATCGTTACACTAGTATGATTTCTCTATAGTGCAGACACTAATATATGTTTTTTCTTATGTTTAGTTATCCTAAATGAATCCTTATACAATGTTAAGAGTTTTGGATAAATTTATTTGTCGGCGAAGGAATGGTGGACACCTTGTATTGTTTTGGGTCTTGAGAACATCAAATATCCGAATGCAAATTGGAAATCAAGGACCTCTGGTAACAAGGTGGAAAATGAGGCTGACTTATCACTAAGATTTCATCTACATGAAATTCTGGTAGAAAGAGAGCTAATGAGGCCGTCCCCGAAATAAAAGCAAAAAAATTAGTAGGGTGTTATTTCTGTAGGAATTAGGAAGACATCTCATAACTAGAGTGTTATTTTGGTGCTGTTGATATTGTTTTGTCAAAGTAGAGCTTTATTGTTTTAGAATTTTATTTTCTTTGTATTGTAACTTTCCTAGCATCATGCTGGTTTTTTATATTTAATGCATTTTAGCAATTCATAAAAAATAAAAGTTTTATGTTATTTCATAGTTTACCAGGTAGTGATGATAATTTAGTAACATGTTGAATATGTTCCTGTTTCAAAAATACATTACATAAACAGGCCCTATGGCATAATATGGTTACAAAATGCTCCCTGTGGCAGAAATCCATCACAGAAACAGTCCCTATAGCTGAAAATACATAACATAAACAATTCGTATTGCAGAAATACATTACATAAATAGTCCCTATGGCAATATCCTTACAAAATGGTCCTTGTGGTAGAATTACATTATAGAAAAAGTCCCTGTTGCATATATACACTACAGTATTAGTCCCTATGGCATAAAATCTTTATAAAATGGTCCTTGTGGTGGTAATACATTACAGAAACAGTCCTTGTGCACAATGACAACTACAGATTTGGTCCATGTGCATAAAAATATTACAGATATGGTCCTTATTTTAGAAAAATATTACAGATATAGTCCATGTTTCACAAAAAACATTACATATATAGTCCCCGTCTCAAAAAAATTTAAAATATGGTCCTTGTCCCCATAACAATTACAGATTTGGTTCATGTGGCAGAAACTCATTACAGAATCGGTCCATATGAAAAAAAACATTACAAAAACGGTCCATATGCAGAAATTGATTACAGATGCAGTCCCTATAGAATAAAATGTTTATATAAATGGTCCTTGTTGGAGAAATACATTACAGAAACAATCCCTATGGCATAAATTCATTAAAAAAATTGTCCCAACAAAATTAAATAATTCAACAATCCATGTAGAAAGCATTAAAGTACTAAAATGTAATAAAACTCATAACAAAAACTCATGATTTTTTGTGTTCTTTCCTCTTGCTAAAGGATGCTTCATCAAAACCTTGAGATGTAGGATTTTTGCAAGTTCTTTGATGGTGTCCATATATACCACAACGCGGACATCTGTGTCTTTTCTTGGGCTCATCATGTGCTATAATTCTATTCTTTTTAGGTCGTTTTATAATAGGAGGGTATATCTTATCAACTAACTCTATATTCACCCATTGATCTTTTTCGGGCATCGGACCAATTTCTAAAGCATATGCTTCTTTAAACTTGTCGACTGTGAAATATGTATCAACATATTTGTCCCAACTAGGCTCCCTTGTGAAACCAATAAAAGCAGCTGCATGCACACACGGAAGGCCTGTAACTTGCCATTTTCGACAACTACATATTTTCTCGTTCAATACAACATCCCAATGATATCCTTTGTACTTCACTTCTGCTTTATTGTCACTGCTTCTACAAACTTGATATTCACCCAAGTTCTACATGAGAAAATTAAACAAGAACAAACTAATATCAGGAAAATATATATGTTTAATGCAAAAACAATTATGTATGTATATAGTTCCTTAACTTGCCTTAGTGATTGTTTTGAGATACTTATTTGCTTTTGGAACTAATGGTCCTTTCCATTTTTTCACCTTACTCCTTTTCTTGTCAAATCGTTCCATAAGCTTTTCTCTAATTGCATCAAGGAGATCAAGCACCGGTTTATAACGTATGTCACCTACCTAAGAGTTAAAAGTTTTTGAAATGACAAGTGTGCCAAACTTACTTCTACTCCATATCTTTTTACGGTTCTCGTTCAAATACGAAATTGCATCTACACATTTAGTAGCAATTTCATTTAACAATCTATCATGCTTATTAACAGAGTAGGTATTTGCAGCCACCCACAACTTGCTCATGAAAAAGTCACCTCGAAAATGTTTCTTGAAGTTGCTACATAAATGTCTTATGCATTCTCGATGCTCAATATTAGGATAAACCTGTGTAATAGATAATTCCAACCCCTTTTGCATGTCAAATGAGATAACAAGACCATTTGGTGTACCAATCGCTTTTTATAGTGACGTGAGAAACCAAGTCCATGATTTTGTATTCTATGCCTCAAGCACACCATACGCTACTGGAAACATACCATTGTTACCGTCGATACTTGTAGCAGCGGCTAACACACCATTAAATTTCCCTTTCAAATGACAAGCATCAAGCCCAATGTAAGGACGGCAACCAGCAAGAAACCCCTTAGAACATGCTGTTAATGATATAAAAAAGCGTAGGAAATGTTTCTTTTCACCCACTGTCTGCAAATCAATCTCCACCCCATTTCTTGGGTTTCTCTTTTCAAGTTCTTGTTTGAAATCATATATATTTACATAAGATTCATCCCACTTGCCATACATATCGATATAAGCTTGCTCTCTTCCTCTAAAGACTCTCATATATGGTACTTCAACATTGTAGGTATGCATAAGCCACTTTTTTAGGTCGGTAGGAGAGACATCGCCTTCAGATTTCAACTTGTCGGTAACAACATCAACAATCCATCCTTGAGTGGCATGTTTGTTACCACTCTTTTTGCTTCGAATACAAGAATGAGTTTCTACACATTTCTTTACCTACAAAATTAAAAAAAAAAAAAAAAAAAAAAAAAAAAAAAAAAAAAACATATAATTATGTTTAAAATAATAACAATTTAGTATTTCTCAAATTTTATACTTACTTCAAAAGTTACAGCATCTTGTGTAAGAGAAGCATGAATTCTCCACTTGTAATTTTTATCTCCACAACATGCTGTAAGTCTTGTCAAATCACTTTTCTCAATGACATACTCAAATTCATTTGTTAGTGCATAATGTTTAATGCTCTTCTAAAAGCAATTACACTTGGGAATTTAGAATTCACTTTCATAAATGGATTCATCTTACTATATGCAGAAGTTTCACCATAATTTAGAAGCTCGTATTCGTTATCAGAACTATGAAGACTATGATAACTTTCTTGAGTTGGACAAACCGAGTTTGTCTCATTTTCATCATCAAATTCATCAATAACTTTATCTTGACAACTTAACGGTTCAGGGTTATACCTTAATTTTTCGGTTGTCGCATAAATTGTTACTTCTTTATCCTCATTATACATGTTTAGCATCACCATGAAGCTCTTATCATTATCAAGTTCAATAAACCATTGCTCTTTTGCATATTTGTCAACAAATACTATGGACAAAACAATATCGGTTTGTGATGAATAGTGTTTTTTCACCTCTTCACCTAGATGATTTAAGTTGTATGAAAATGTGTCTATATAGAGACATTTTGTAGATCCAAAGCAATACACTTGCCTACATGAGTTCCTAGCTAACCGAAAGAAGCCTCCAGATTTCAATTTAAACTTGAATTTCGATATTACTTGTCTGATAACCACAATAAAAAAATCAGTTAATAAAATTGAAGGGAAACATAAAATATCATCCATTGTTGATAAAAACTTACTCAATTATGGGTGAGTGAGCACTTATGTCCCATCTCGGTGCATCAAACTCACTATCCATCAAAGAGGAGGATAATAAACTGTCTACTGCAAACCAAACATAATTGAATGCACAACCAAAAATTAATTGGATGGAAAAAGTTAATCAAAATCAAAATTAATCGAATGCAGAATAAAATTAACCTATTGTGAAGAAATAAACTGATCTACTATTATGTTTATAGCAACGATATTTGAAGAAACCAAGGCAGAAGTTCTTACGGCTTGAAGAAGCAAAAGCGTGATTAAAGTCTTGGAGATTTCACGCTTTTGAGGTTTAGAATTCACTTTTTTGAGTTTTTTCCATATTAATTAGGTTTAATGCTAATTAAATCTATTTAGTTCTATTTATTAATTATTTGGAAAGGGTAATTTAGTACAATCACCTTTTATTTTGATTTTTAAATATATTTTTTAGTATTAAAATGATTAATACCTCATTAAATGATAAGATTAGATATAAATGTGATTTTAATAGGTTAAGAAGGATATATACGTAAATACGAACTTTGGAAGGATATAGACATAATTCTTAATGTTTGCAAGGATATATGTGAAATTTTCCCTAATTATTATGATTTAATTAATTAATAATGAAAATAAGCATTGAAAATAAATATTAGAAAAAGCCGATATCTTTTAAGAAAGTTTTAGTGGCTAAAACAAGGATTCCGGAGATATAAAGAACAATGAAATCCGAGTTATAACGAAGAGGTTATGACTTGTCGAAGTTTCGCGACGGAACTGGCACGGCACCAGGAAGCATAAAAAGTGAATTTATGATAAAGTGCTTTTTAGCCTTAATAATCTAAACAAAAGTCATAGTATTCGTTAAGCTGAGAATTTTGATACAAGGAACGTCCAAATCTGACTTCGTATGAGGAAGTTATGATTTTTCTAAGTTTTAGCTTAGCAGTAGACAACCAAATACTCAAATTTAAGATCGAACGATATTTAGCCGACACAACCTAAACGAGAATCGAAGGTCTCGTCAATAGTAGTACAACGGTAAAAGGACTGACGAAAACGGACGTCGGATGAAGAAGTTATGAATTTTTAACGGATTTTCCTGTCCCGGTCTGTTAAAAATAATAATATTAAAATTAAAGTCAGAATTAGCCGACGAAGTCTAAATGAAAGTTGTAGAATATATTCCCGCCTATGTGTGCATATAAATAACATCAAAAACGGAGCTCGTATGAAAAAGTTATGAATCTTAGAAGATTTGGGTGCAATTTTCGAAAAATTCGCATGAATAGGAGTCGGCCACGTCACCCTTCTCGCGAACCTGCCTCGTGGCCGAAGCTACTGTGTCACCGAGTTGTGGCCAAGTCCGGATCCTACGCGTGTCACAATCTCCTTGGACCGAAGTCTCTGCCAATCAGAGGCTGCCTCGTATCCTTCGCGTGTCCGAGTCTCGCAGCGGTCACGTCCGAGCCTTGCACGAGCAGCGTGGCCTTCGCACCTGCTGCCACCTGCCCTCGCTGCTGTCACGCGCTTCGCCCCCTCGCAACCACGTCTCCCCTTCGTGTCCGAGCCTCGCAGCCACTACGTGGAGCCTTCTTAGCCACCAATCTTCGGTCTCGCACCCTATAAATAGGAGGCTTGCGAGATCTCTCGGGTACTTTTAGAAAATTGGCATTTTTCACCCCTAAACTTATATTTTGACTTCCCCCGAAGCCCCGGTATCATTTTTAAAGCCCGAAATACGTCCCGAAGTGCCTGATGACCCGAAAATTTTTATCTTATCGGTTTTGAAGCTCCAACCCTCGCAGACCCTGGTTTCTCAATAAAACTCCCGGTTTATCAGAAACGATCATTTTAAGGAACGAATTGCTGCCCGATTATCATCAAATCAAGTGAGTGTATAGTCACGTTCATCTTACACATAGATATGAAGTATTTTATATAAATACGTGCTATGTGTGTGTGTGTGTATATATATATATATATATATATATATATATATATATATATATATATATATTGATTGTTTATTTGGGATGATTGTTGAATGAATGTTTTATACAAGTTTTAAAATGATTTAAACTGTATATATATTTTATCTACAAATATGTTGGATATAACATGGGTAGATGAAATAGTTGATGTGTGTTAAAATGATGAGAGGTCTCGATATTGTTGTTGTTCCAGTCATCTAGCGGAGTATGGATGACGACCACGGACTCTTCTAAACAGTCTAGTGGAACGCTAGCAGGCTTGCAACCTGTAGGTGTTTGTGGGCTTGATGTTCACCGGTGTACTCCATCCCCCTCATGGTTGCCTTACGGACATATATGGCTAAGGAATCCCCTTAGCAGTAAAGTCCATCCCGATGATAAAATCCTTAGACTAGGTCCCTTGTATAGGTGTTTAGGGACGTAACGTGAGGATAACGGGAATGGGTAATCAGGGTTATTGTTGGTTTGATGAAATTAATAAATTTATTGTTGATCGATGAAATTAATAAATTTATTATTATTTCTGGGTTGAAAACCCTATATGCTCACCAGGCTCTCAAGTCTGACCCACTCAGCTTTCTGTTTTACAGGTAGTGGACCCAGAGCATAATTTGGATGATGATGAAGGATTTTTGGATTATAGGCCGGTAGTTGTAAATAACTGTTGTAACGCTTATAATGTACTATTTATGCTTTTGATCTGTATCAAATATGACATCTCGGGTCTTTTTAATGAAATACATTTCTACAGAAATGCTTTGATAAATCTTTATCATATTTTTATTTTGGGAACAAATTCCGCAACACTTTTATGTAAAATATTACTCTGATTTTCAAACAAGCATAAACACAATCGGTCTTTTCTGGCCGTGAAATTGGGGATGTCACACTGGAGCTCGCTCCGGACCTGTTGGATCTTCTCTACGGTCTTGAGTACCACCTCAGTACTCCCCATGACTCTCTAACCGACCTCGGCCCAACAGATTGGGGTTCTACGCTTTCTCATGTAGAGCATCTCAAAGGGAGGTCGATCTATGTTGGCGTGATAACTGTTGTTATACGAATATTCCGCTAACAAAAGATACATATCCCCACTCCCTTCGAAATCCAACACACATGCACGCAGCATATCCACCAGAGTCTAAATTGTCATCTCAATCTTCCCATCAGTTTAAGGTTGAAAAGTTGTGCTAAACTGAAAACGAGTACCCATCTTGTCATGGAACCGCTTCCAAAACCGGGAAGTGAAGCGAACATCTCGATCTGACACAACCAAAACGAACACTCCGTGGCATGCCACCACCTCGCGAACATAGATCTCAGCTAACTTCTCAGCCGATATACTCTCTTGGATCTGGACGAAATGAGAACTCTTGGTTAACTGATCCATGATGACCCAAATCGAATCTACTCCACGTGCGGTCCTGGGAAACTTCGTGGATCTGGACGAAATGAGAACTCTTGGTTAACTGATCCATGATGTCTTCTTATTTCCACACGGGAATATCAAACGGCTACATCTTGTCGTGAGGCTGCTGGTGCTCAACCTTGACTTTCCTGCAAGTCAAGCACTGCTCCATATACCATGTTATGTCCCACTTCATGCAGGGCCACCAATAATTAGGGTGAACATCCCCATACATCTTTGTCGCCCCGAGATGGATGGAGAATCTCGACTTATGAGCTTCATCCATCAGAACCTGGCATACACCACCCCAGTACAGAACCCAGACCCTCCGATGCAGGGCCACCTGGCCTATGATCCGCTCACACTTCCATCACTCCTCCTTCGTACCCTCGACATGCGACTCTCGTATCTGTTCCAGCAATGGATTAATCACTATCATCCTCACAAATATGTCTCATATCGATGCTGCAACCGCCTTATGGCTGAGTGCATTGGCCATTACATTGGCCTTCCCCGGGTGGTAGAGGACCTCATAATCGTAGTCCTTCACCACATCTAACCACTGACGTTGTCTCATGTTCAGATTCGGTTTGTCTATTAGATACCTTAGGCCATTTTAGTCCGTGTAAATGGTACATCGAACCCCATAGAGGTAATGCCACAAAATCTGGAGGGCGAAAACCACAACCCCGAACTCCAAATCGTGCATTGGGTAGTTTGCCTCATGAAGCTTCAACTACCTCGAAGCGTACGCTATCACGTGATCCCGCTGCATCAGCACTGCGCGTATACCTATGATCGAAGCGTCACAGTAAACCACAAAATCGCCGACACCCTCCGGCAAGGTCAGAATCGATGCCTCACACAACCGATGTCTGAGAGTCTCGAAGGCTACCTGCTGCTCAGGGCCCCATCGGAATGTCACCAACTTCTTGGTCAGTTGGGTCAAGGGAACAACAATCTTGGATAAATCATGGATGAATCTCCGATAATAACCCGCCAGACCAAGAAAACTCCAAATGTTAGATGGAGACCTCAGAATCTCCCATTGCAACATGGCTTCTATCTTGGCCGGATCAACCAAAATACCCTTCTGGTTCACAAGGTGCCCCAGAAACTACACCTCGCAAAACCAGAACTCACACTTGGAGAACTTTGCAAAAGGTCTCTCCCTCATCAGCATCTCCAGCACCTCCCTAAGGTGCTCTTTGTGATGCTCCTAATTCTTGGAGTAAACCAAGATATCATCGATAAAAACTATCACCGACCGATCCAACATCGGTCTGCACACACGGTTCATGAGATCCATAAATGCGGCAAGAGCATTGGTGACCCCAAACGGCATCACCACGAACTCAGAGAGGTCATAGTGGGTCCGAAAGGCTGTCTTCTGTACATCTTCATCCTGGAATCGCATCTGGTGATAACCCGATCGCAGATCAATCTTGGAGAACCAGGACGCACCATGAAGTTGGTCAAATAAGTCATCAATCCTCGGGAGGGGATAACAGTTCTTCATTGTTACCTTATTCAACTCTCGATAATCTATACACATTTGATACGACCCGTCCTTTTTCTTCACGAATAGGATTGAGGCTCTCCATGGCGAACTGCTTGGCCAGATAAATCCCTTGTCTAATGTCACACCCCGAAAACCAAAGGCGGAAACGTCTCC